TCAAAATTTCTCTCCTCTAAAAGCTTTACTCTCTCTTAGTCATCATTCATCCATCATATTATCATCGTATCTAATCAATAACTCATTGATCCATCATACGATCATTGTATCTAATCAATGACTCACTGATCCATTATGTAATCATCGTACCTAATCAATAACTCACTGATCTACATTGATCCATCATATAATCATTGTATCTAATCAATGACTCACTGATCCATTATGTAATCATCGTACCTAATCAATAACTCACTGATCTACATTGATCCATCATATAATCATTGTATCTAATCAATGACTCACTGATCCATTATGTAATCATCGTACCTAATCAATAACTCACTGATCTACATTGATCCATCATATAATCATTGTATCTAATCAATGACTCACTGATCCATTATGTAATCATCGTACCTAATCAATAACTCACTGATCTACATTGATCCATCATATAATCATTGTATCTAATCAATGACTCACTGATCCATTATGTAATCATCGTACCTAATCAATAACTCACTGATCTACATTGATCCATCATATAATCATTGTATCTAATCAATGACTCACTGATCCATTATGTAATCATCGTACCTAATCAATAACTCACTGATCTACATTGATCCATCATATAATCATTGTATCTAATCAATAACTCATTGATCCATCATATAATCATTGTATCTAATCAATAACTCATTGATCCATCATATAATCATTGTATCTAATCAATAACTCATTGATCCATCATATAATCATTGTATCTAATCAATAACTCATTGATCCATCATATAATCATTGTATCTAATCAATAACACATTGATCCATTATATAATCATTGTATCTAATCAATAACTCACTGATCCATCATATGATCATTGTATCTAATCAATAACACATTGATCCATTATATAATCATTGTATCTAATCAATAACTCATTAATTCATTATATATTTCCACTAGTAATGATTATTTTTGAAAAACCTTTGCTTTTGTCCGATTTTGAAAAATCTCTTCCCATCTCATTCATTAGATCTTCATCGATATCCATTATTAATATACAATGTTGCCGCATAGTGAATTATATGATAAGAATTATGATATGATATGATCAGGAAATAATAATAATAACAATAATTGATTGATAATAATATCAGAAAAGAAAACAACCAAATACAGAATTATTTGTTTTAGATTATTCCTTGATGAATTCTTTTCAGCTATATTTTTTCTTCTCAATAATTCTCGATAATAATAATTCCTTCCAATTCTTCGTATCACTTCTTGCTTTTACTTCGTTTCAGTAACTGATCAAGTATTGATTGATACAACAAATTTCCTTCCTAAATTACATTTTTAACAATTTTACACAAAAATTTTCCATTTCTCAACTAACCAATTCCATTTTCAAATAAAATGTGATAATAAATTTTTAATCTAAAAAAAAAACAAAATGAAAAAATTGTTAGTTTTTCTCGTTTCTTCTCTTTAGCTTTTCTATTTGTTGCGCCCCTTTTTTTTTTTTTTTTTTTTTTTTCAGTTTTACCCTTTAAACCTGTCCTCAATATATGTTGCAGAAACAGTAATAAGGACAAAAATGTAAGTTAATCGACAATTTCAAACAAGTTTTCTAATTTAAAACAGAAAAGAAAATGTGGAAAAAAAAGAAAAAAATTATTTTAACATTTTTAGAAAAATAAAATTAAACATTTAAGAAAGCAATGTGTGTTAAAACTTGTCATTCTGTTACAATATTAACTGTATTAATCACTTTCATAATAAAATTTTAGAAATGAGAGGGAGAGAGAAAGGGAGAGAGAGAGAGAAGGTAGTAATTTAATTGAAACATTATAAAAGTCATTACAAATGTAAAAATTGTATGTTATTGTTGTTTTGGAGAAAAAAAATTAAACATTTTAAATGTTTCAAATAGTTTCAATTAGATTACAGTACAAATTATTACTCTTTAATTACTTAAAAAACTTAATTAACTATTCATTTTAATTATGTTGCAAGTAAATACGAGTAATTTGATTTATAGATATCGTTGAATGATGGATTCCATATGCATAAATTACTTAAACGAATATTTATACTTCATTAATTAAAAAAAATTTTAAAATTTCATCAAAATTTTGAACAATAATTGTTAATTTCATATAGAAATTACATATATAATTTCAAAATGAGATAAAAAGTAATATAGCATTGATTATTTGTATAATTTAAACAATCATTTAACAGTAAATCAAATGAATAGCAGAAGTTTATAACTTTTAACTTTAAATTGATTGAGAAAAAAACGAAAAATTTTTATTTTTTAATTTATTAGAGAAAAAATTTATTCACATTATTATAATAATTTCTTATCCGATAAAAAATTTATTTAATCCTGCTCATTTTTTAAAATAATTTCAATTTTTAATTTGCCTTTCGCTAACAATATTAAATTTCTTCTCCTAGGTTTTCCCATTATTATGATTTCAATTATTATTATTCTAAATTGAAAATAATTTTAAATATTGCTTAATATTCTAAAATACAATTGATCTAACAAATTAATCGAATTTTTTAAATGAAAAATGAGAAAGAAATTAGAGGTAATTTGAAAATTTGAAGAAAAAAAAAGAACCGAACAGTTATTCCGGTTTGTTTTGAAAACAAATTGAAAACAAATTAGAAATCCGGTTAGATGATTTGTCTTAAATATACATAGTCTTCCTAAGATATAAAAACATTTGCCTATAATGTTCAATTTGCTTTTACAATTTTATTTTTTTTTGAAAAAAACTTTGAAATTATTTTTGGTCAAAAAATCCATTTTAGATTTTTTGTCAATACATTTTGTCAACAAGTAATAAGTATTCCAAAAAGTAACAATGTTAGCCAAATTTTTTGATTGTCATTTAACTCATTTTTATGAACAGATGACAAAATATACAGTATTTAATCATATTAAGGTGAATTATTAATTTGAAATAAAATTTTTTAATTTGAAAAATAAGAAAAAATAGAAAATTTTAAAAGACTACAAGAATTTCAAATAACAAATCAATTAGCTAAAATTCAAGGAAAAGAAGGAAGAATTATTAATAAATTTTATTAAATTTTTTTAGCACTATTGTTTTATTAGAATTAATTTGTTGCTGAGATTCACTAATTAATATTTTGTTAATCAAAATGAATTAAAATACATAGAGAGAGAGAGAGAGAAAAAAAAAATGATTGAATAAAGTTAAATGAGAAAAGAATTCAATAACTTTCAGCAAGTGCGACGAACTAACAAAAATAATTGAAATGAAAATATTTTGGTTTTCGTTTTTCTTTTTTTTTTTTTTTTTTTTTTTTTTTTTTCTACCTGTAAAAGATGAAATGAAAACAAATGAAAATGTAATGCAAACACGAATTACAAAAGTAAAGTTTATATCAAATATTTGTTATGAGAGAGGTAAGATGAATGCCATGCATTACTTAATTAAACTTAATCTAACTTATTCACTAAATTCAACAATTAGAAATCATTATATCGTCCTTTTTTTTTAAAAAAAAAAAAAACTATTATAAAAACAATTCTAAATTCAATGTAATTTAATTAGTAAACAATTTGGTATAAACAATAATTGTTTATCCATAAACAATCATTATATTGTATATCAGCGCAACTATTTAATAAACATTTGGAATGAAAGTTAAACCACCTGTTTAAATTTATATTTTTTTGTACAATTTTATTTCTTCTGAAAAAATTAATAATTTATGAGATATTATTACTAATATGAATTACTAATATTTTTGTATTATTAATACGGCTAATATATTTGAATAATTTGAAAGGATAAATTATCTAATTCAATGATTTCAATTTGAGTTTTAATTATTATAAAATTAAATAAACAGTTGAAAACAAAAAAAAGAAATATAAATGAATGGAAATTTTATTATGCTTTTGCATAATAGTTAAAATTAAAAATGCGATTTCAAGAAAACAATAATTGTTTTGATTAACAAATTTTTTGTAATGCCTTTGTATATAATAATGCTTGTTATGCTTTTATAATTCAGTTAAAAATATTTTTATCAGTTTAAATTTATCATTGTTATAATCATCAAAAAAATTTTTGATAATGAATTTTTAATTTCAGATTTGAACGAATTTAAAAATGTTATCACTTTGATAATTGTGGTTCTGCCATCCAAAAATTTTATCTTATTTCTTTTATTAAAGTTTATTTCCGTTGAACAACTTAATTGATTTATTATTACTATAAGTAATTATTTCGTTTAAATCGACCAAATTATAATATAATATTATACATAATTAAAAATTTTTTTTAGACCTAAATAATTTAAAAATATATAAAAATATTTAATAGTCTTAGGCATATTTCACATATAATTAATTAATATATAATAAATATTCTAATCAAAATACATCGTTAATTTTAAATTATCATTGTCACTCTTCCTCAATCATTTCTTATTAAACATTTTCTTGTTTTGATTTTATTTGCTATCATTCATTCAAAAATTTATCATTGATTGAAATTAAATTCATCAAAAATTACTACTAATTAATTTAAAATATTTTTTTTTAATATTAAAATTTCTTTATTTTTTCTAAAGAAAAACTTTTTCTTTTCACCAAATTTAAGTATTAATAATTTAAATGATTAATGTTGCATTTTAACATCCAAATTAGCAATTAATAATTTTTGTAGCAATTAGTAATTTTTAACATTAATAAAATTTAATAATAACAATTAGTAATTTCTATTAGTAGCAAAATTGAATAATTAATTATTATTTTTTTTTTAAAAAAATTTTCTGTATTATGTAAATTTACAAAGAAAAAAAACGATTAAATTTTTTTTTAGTATAATTTAAATTTATTAAAAAGATTCTTTTTCTTCTTTTTTCAAATAGATATACGAACAATTCTTTAGTAATGAGATCACATGTATTACTGATACTGATAACACTTATCATTATTTGATTACGTAGAATTACTTGCTTGTTGCTTATCTTTTGTTAAACGTTCATTAAATTTTTTCAAATATCTTTCGTAGTCACGTCGAAACCGTCGTGTCAGTGTATCGTGTGGCAATGATTTGAAGGTATGCATATACTCAATCAGACAAATGTGTATGAATATGTACTGTAATACTGACTGCACCGAATGTAGTCGTTGGTGACGAATCTCTTTGACAATCTATAGCGATAATTATTAATTAATTAATTAGTTAATTAGCTACTAATTATCATTGTAATTATATCGCTATTGATTATCATTGTATAATTGCTATTATTGTCATTATTATTATATCAATATTTATTATTATCATTGTACAATTGTTATTATCATTATATCACTATTATTGTATATTGTTGTCATTGTATAATTGTTATTATTATTAGTATTGTTATTATTATTATATCACTATTATTGTATATTATTATCATTGTACAATTGTTATTATTATTAGTAGTATTGTTATTATCATTATATCACTATTATTGTATATTGTTGTCATTGTATAATTGTTATTATTATTAGTATTGTTATTATTATTATATCACTATTATTGTATATTATTGTCATTGTATAATTGTTATTATTATTAGTATTGTTATTATCATTATATCACTATTATTGTATATTATTGTCATTGTATAATTGTTATTATTATTAGTATTGTTATTATTATTATATCACTATTATTGTATATTATTATTATGTCACTATTAATTATTATTTATTACTATTGTTATTATTGTTGTTATTTGTTATTATTATTATAATCATTATTATTACTATTGTATATTATTATATTACTATTAATTACGATTCATTACTATCGTTATTATTGTCATTATTTGTTATTATTATTATTATATCACTATTACTGTGTATTATTATTATATCACTGTTAATTGTTATTATTATCATTATTATTATTAATAGTAGTATTCTTAATGAACAATTATTATTATTATTATTATTTAAATTGCCATGGTGACAATAATTTTTGAAACAAACAGTTGGGTGTGGAAATAAATTTAAAATGTTTTTTTATATGTATATAATCAGATCACTCGATTTTATCATATTATTAATACTCTGATTTGATAAATGTTTATCACTAATTTAGATTATATTTGTCGTTCTTTTTTTTTTCTTTTGTTTCATTTGTATTTACAAAAAAAAAAAAAAAAAAAAGACTTCATTTTATTGCTAAATTAAATGAAAAATAATTTGAAGAAATAAAAATTATAAAAAATGAAATGATAATTAATCAAAAATTAATATTTATTTGTAACACAAACAATCTAAATTAGTGATATGAGATAAATGTTCTATTTGAATTTCCTTTGATTTATTGTTTTTATATCAATTTAATCATTTATATATATATATATATATATATATATAAATTAATATATAATAAATGTAAAATTAGTAATTAATCGTATTTTATTAAATAATTGCTCTTAAAAAAGAAAGAAAAAATTATTTTATTTGCATTAAATAATTAAAAAACATTTTTTTTTTTGGAAAATGGAGCTTTTTTTGTTTGTTTGTTTGAAAGATTATTTTATAAATAATATACAAAGATTAGTTTAACATTAAAATAACTAACATCAGGCGGAGAAACAGTGCCTTCTTCATTAAGTCGATCAATGGCATAATCAACGGCGCAAAGTGTACCTGTTCGACCGATACCAGCCGAACAATGTACGACAATTGGTCCTTTTTCATTTAGTATTTTTAGTTTTGTAATTAATGCAACTATTGGTGCACCGGAACGTGGTGATGAACGATCCGGCCAATTTAGCAATCTATAGTGATATACCTGATGTGTATCACCTCTGTAATACCTTCATAATAATAATTAAAATTAAAGTAAAACATTTTTTTTTTCTTTTTTAAAATATAATTCAAATTAAAAAAAAAAAAAAAAGATTAATTAAGAAATTGATGAAATTATTAATCGTACTCTAATCGTACGCTCATTATTTGACAGGTAATTGAATCTAAATGTTGGCCATCTCTTTCATTTTTCACAGTAATTCCACCATATCGAACTTTTTCACCAGTTGTTAAAGGATAATATTCGGCGCATTTTGATTCGCCATCTTCGATAAAATCGCATAACATTACAATTGCTTTTACTTCTTCCTTAAAAAAAATTTTTTTTTTTAAAGGTAAAAATGTAGAAAAGAAGAAAAAAAAAAAAAGGATAAAATGTGAAGAAATTATTGTTATACCAAAAATGTTTTCAAGAAATATTTCTTCTTTATTAATATTTTTATAATTGTAAACTTATTTTAAAAAAGAATTATGTAAAAAGTAAACAAATGAAATGATAATTTGTCATTACTAAGTAAAGTAATTTATAAAGTTAGTTTTAAAAAAATACCAAATGTACTAAAAAAAAAAAAAAAAAAAAATTGTGTGTTTAAATGAATGATTCAATATATCGATTACATTTTATAGCTCATTTCATTTATTTAGTGACTTTACCCTATTAATTTGCTTTTTAACAAATTGCTGCATACTTTTACCCACACACGTAACACGTACCCATTCAGAAAATATATGTTTACACTTAGATAATTATGAAAATATACGCGTAACGGATAATCCTACTTAAGAATACCCACAAAAGCACACGTATCTGTGTGCTTACCCAAGTGTCGACATATGCACCGACTTAGGTAACCAAATACCTACCTGCCAAAAGCCAAAGATATACCTAGCAAATATCCACGTATACACGCAGTTACACTTACCTAACCTACCAGAACCTACAGATACATCTACTTAGATACTCACGCATACTGCACCCATTCAGGCAGTCATACGTCTGGCACCAAAGTTCACAGATATACCATACCTACTGAAGTACCCACCTGTACACCTACTCAGGCAGTAGCCACACACGCACATACTTACCCACAGAATATACTTTCTCGGGCATCCAAGCGCTTATTGAGATATTTACACACACATACACGCATACACAGACACACACACATACACACATACAAATGCTGTATGCTTACATTCAATGGGTATTAATCCATCAATATTGAGAAAAATGTTAGAGTGAATTAATTTGACAAATACCTTAAAAATCATCCACCAGAAATCTTCGATAGTTTCTTCGAGTGGTCCTTGCGTACAAATGTATCGTCTACTAGCCGAGAGTTGAACCCAATTAGCATGAATGTAATCGTTGTTTCTTGGACGATCCTTCAGCACTACTCTCGTCTTATCGAGACACATCACATCGGTGTAACTTAAATTAGAAATATTATTACTAATTCAGGGATTACTTTATTTTAAGTTAAATTAATTCTAATTTATTAAAACTGTGATTTTTTGCAAGAATAAATTGAAATCAATAAATATTTTAAATTTTTACTCTTTTCGAATATAGTATTCTAATTACTTATTTTAAAAATAATATAAATTAGTATAATTAATTGTACTTAAAATGCATTTATTTATTTAATAGTATTTAGTTCATAAAGTGACTTTTTTTTTTTCAGATTAAATGTTATAATTAAAATTTTGTCAGTTATTTTATTGATAAAATTGCACAAATTTAGCTTAGGAACTATCTAATAAAATAATTACGAAAAGAAACAATTATTTTTATTTTATAAAAAGTAATTTAGATAACTTTATTTTACAGAATAATTTAAATAACTATTGAGAGTGATTTTATCACATAATATTTGTAAAGTTTTATTCTGCAAATCTTTTTATAACTTAATAAGATTTATTTGATTAAAGGAATACAAAAATTGTGATAATAATGATAATAATTTATAATCATTTTAATGATAACAATTAACCGATTTTTAGCAGGATGTCGATCAAACATAATCGTTGTAATCTCAGGTGGTAAAAATTTTCGAATAGTTGCAAAATCTTTCAATATCGGTCGTAAACCTCTACGACAAATGGTTCTAACACATTCAAAAGCATTATCACCAATTTTATCAGTAACTGCTATAGCATCTTTGTATGCTTAAAAATAAAATTTTTATCATTTTAATCAAAAAAAAAAGCTTATATTTTATTATATAAAACTTATTTATAAAGTTTGTAAATTTTGTAAACCTTTTTATAATTTAATACAATTCATATGATTAAACGAATTAAAAATTGTAATAAAATTAAAATGTCATTCTTAGAATTTCTGGTAATTAAATATATGTTTTAGATATTAATAAAATACTAAATTAAAATTTATTCTAATTAATTAAAATAATTTTAAGAAAGGGAAAAATTAATTGATTACCTGAATCAAGCTCAAAATCAACTTCTTTTACCGCTTCATCTTTAATATATGTTTTTCGTCTTTTTTCTTCCCCTTTTATACCACGTATTACTTTAAATCTTTCTCTTGATCTCTGAATTTAAATTAATTAATTTAAAATTTAATTTGATTCTAATAAATAATGCAATAATATTTTAATGCTTATAAATTGTTACAGTATTAACGATAATATTAATTTCAGCCAATTAATTAAATAATGGTATAAGAAGCATTAATAATTAGTTATTACTAATAAACATTACTTCTCTAAAAACAAAAAAACAAAAAACTTACACCTTTCCCTTTTCGTGTTCTGAAAAAATATTTGACTTTAATACTTTTTTTCAATTTTTATTCAACTAATTATAGAAGGTAATTAAAAAAAATTTTTGATAATAATACTTAAAATTAAATTCAAACTCTTTTTTTTTCAAAAAAAAAATTTGTTCAATTTCAATTTGAAAATTATGCACAAAAATGAGAGAAAAAATTAAAACGTTTATAAATTTATCAATGTTTACTGTAAAATACTTACAATACACGAATTTTTCGGCTTGGACGTTCGTAACTTGGACGTTCATTTACTATAAATTATTTAAATGTTTATATTTGTTCTAAAAGTATTTTTAATATTATTAACATTTTCATTTTTTCTCAATTTTTTTTTTTGTCAAATTTTTATATTTTTTCTAAAAATATTTTTGTTATTATCAATATATTATCAAATATTTATTATTTGTTATTACTAATTACTTTTGTTATTGTCTGTTTTTTTTCATTATTTTTTTATATTTATTATTATTAATTACTATTGTTATTGTCTGTTTTTATTACTACTAATATTTATTTATTCACTTATTGTTATTAATACTATCATTGCTATATTAATATCTGTTTATCAGTTATCACTATTATTACTGATCACTATCACTATTATTATCAAAATCATAATCTGGATTTTATTACTATGATAAGAAAAAAAAGGTGTAAATGATAATGAAATGATAAAAGAATATACAACCGAAAAAAAATTATTATTATTCTGTGCCTAATTTATTTTATGCAAATTGCTATTAGCATAAATATATCTATTAAAATTTGCGATTAAAATAAACAATTGTTATTGGTTTTGATGATAAAATATTCGATGAAAATAAGTAAACGTATATATTTGCATAAATAATTAAATAAAAAGATTATAAAATTTCAAATTCATTGCATTGTTATTGAATATTTCAGTTAAATTTATCTTTTATTTTTTAGTTATTTCATTAATATTTTTTGTTGCACTAAATAATTTTAAATAAATTTGGAATTCAAATAAGTATAGAATTAATGAATAATAGAATTAATTTTAATTAATATACCATCTTCTTCGCATGTAACCAATTCACTTCCGTCATCTTTCAATTGCTTCAGATGTCGCGTTTTAGTCTTTTTTATAAAAAAAAAATAAAGTCAAATTAATTTTCATAGTTTAAAAATTTTTTTTTTTAGATAAGAATTGACAATTAGTTAAACTGCATGAATGATTAATAATGAGGCAGGAATCACTGTGCCCAATTTTTTTTTTCCGTTTCCGGAAACTATTAAACGACAATAATTAATCAGTATATCACTGAGTACTGAATCAAATAATATTATTTATTTTTATGGATAGATAAATAAAAATTAGATATGTTAAGAGAATAAATTATGTAAATGGTAAATTTCCATTGAAAAAAAAAAAAAAACTTAAACTAATTTAGAATTTTTTTTTTTTTTTTTTTTTTTTTTGTTCAGAATAACTAAGGAAAAATCGAATGAATTTTTCGGATTATAGCAAATTGAGAAAGGCAAAATTTAATTTTTTGTTTCGAATAAACAACAAATTTTTATTTATATAAAAAAATAAAACGAAAAATGGAAGAGAAAGCAAAATTAAATTTCAATTTGTGATTAATTTTTGAAGTATTACTATCTAGTTATTACATGAATTATTTCATTGTTTGACTTGCAAAAATTTGAAAGTAATTTTTGTTAAAAATTTGAAAAATTTTACTTTACGCTTTTTATGCATTTTTGCTTAATAATAATGGCGGCCTGAAAATTGCAAAAATTTTTTTTTTTATTTTTCATTTGAAAATAATAATATTTACAATTTAATTTGAAATTAATTCTTTATTTATTTCCTTTTTTCCGCCCAAGTTTAAGCAATAAATATTATTATTTTCAAAAAAAAAATTTTATCACAATCAGTTTATTTGGTAATTTTTCTTTTTTCTAAAAACAACATTTAATATTTGTTTAATTAATCAAAAAATTCTTCCATTTTTTATTTTAATTATTTCATTTAAATTTAAAAAAATGAAATTTAGACAAAGAAAATGTGTGTTTTCTTATTATTTATGAATTCATAGTTATTTAAAAAAAAAAAATTAAATTAAATTAAATTAAAACAAAACAACGAATTAGCGATGACAAGGACAGACCGTTTGTTAAATTGAAAATAATATACAATGCAAAATGAAATATTTTTTTATAATATATAAAATTATGCAAAATTCTATGCATATTTTCTTTTTTTAATATGAATTATTCCTTTTTTTTTTTTTCTTTTGAATTCATTTAATTATTTATTTTAAATTTATTTCAATTTATTAATTCAATTTTTTTCTTCTTGTCTTACTCTTTTATTTCTTAATTCTTTTTAATTATTATCAATATTAGTAATCTATTATTGAATTAATTCAATAATTTCTTTTGATATATTTTAAATTATCATTTTATTATTTCATTAAAAAATTACTGACATAATAATCTAATTAAATTTTCCAACTCTTTTTTTTTTTACTCTTCCACTTTCTTTTCTTTCCCTCTCTCTCCCTCTCCTTCAAAATATTATTTAAATTATGAAAATATTATTAAAGTGTGGTAGATTAAAATATGGAAAAATTAAGAATGGAAATATTATTATTAATTATCAAAAGAAAAATCAAAAAAAAAATCAAAAAAAAAAATAATAATTTTTTATCACTAAAAATAAATTTAAATATTTACAAATAATCCTTGCAATTTTATATAAATATTTATTAATTTAGTAAACGAAAAAAAGTAGAATGAGAAAAAATGAGAATGTTTATTTAAATTTTCTAAATTTTCTCCTTTCAAAATTAGCATAATTTACTATTTATTACAATCGTTTCTTTCAAATTATAAAATTTTAAACATTTACAGCAAATTGATAAAATTAATTTAAAATATGAAATTGATAAATAATAATTTTAAAAAAGTATGGCAGTAAATGATTGAATAAAAATTATTGATAAAATGGAAGGAACGAAAAAAGAAAAATGCAAAGAAATGAAAAAGGAAAATAATTTATATTTCATTGAAAGGTCACAGTTTAGCTATGTTAAATGTTAAATATTATTAATGAATCAAAAAAAAAAAGTTTTTTTTAGTTTAATTTTTTTGCTAATTTTTTTTTATAAAAAGTTTTTGTTTTTTTTTTTTTTTTTTTTTTTTTCAAGAAAGATTTATAAAATAAAATATTTATCATCTAAACACATTTAATTTTTTTTTTTTTGATCTTTAAGGAAAAAATTGAAAAAAAAAAAAATGTCTGTGAAATTTTAAATGATAAAAAATGACAATTATTTGTCGTTTATTATAATTTTATGATTTAGTCATATTTTTTTTTTTTATTTTATATTTATGCAATCATAAATTTTCTTTCTTTTCTTTTCAATTTTTTTTTTAATTTTTTAAAAAAGAATGTTTTAGTGAAAGAAATATCATCAAGCATTTACGTTTGTTATTTTCTTTCTCTTTTTCTTATTTTATTTAATCAAAAAATTTTTGTAAATTAAAAAAAAATTAGCTTTTTTTTCTTTTGAGAATTCGCTTTCCTTTCCTATTTATTTAATCAATGGAAATGAAAAATGTTAAAAGTTTAATTTAAAAAAAAAAAACAAAAAAAAAAAGAAAGAATAAAAAAAAATTGTTCAAATAGATTTATAAAAATATTATAATTACTAAATTTAATTAGGCTTTAAAAGAATGAATTTAGGCTTTTTTCTTTTTCAACTTTTTTACTACAAGAATAAAAAGTAATTTATGATAAAATGGATTTAATAATTTGTAATAAATAATTTGAAATGAAATTTATTATTTTCAATTTCTTATTATTTAGATAATTGTATGCAACTTTAATTTAGTTTAAATGAATAGTTTTTGATTCAAATTTTTTCTGTTTTTTGTTTCAAAAAAAGTTAAACTTTCAAATTTTGATGAATTGAAAAAATTAAAAAAGGTAATTTTTTTTTTTTATTGAAAATTTTTATTAAAATAAGTATAAAATTAAAAATGTAATTTATTTGTCACAAATTTGTCACATTGAATTATTAGTAATACATTTTCAATTCAAATTTTAATCGTATAATTTTCATGTAAACAATATTATAATGAATGTTTAATATTCGTAAATAATTTTATGATAAATTACTTTCAAATTTTGTTTTAAATTGTTGTTTTTTTAATTTAATTTAATTTCTGCTCAGTTTAATTAATTTCTTTAAAAAATTTCAGATATAAATTTAATTAAATATTACTGTTTTCTTTTTTTTTTTGCTTCAAATGCTAATTTCAACAATAAAATTTTTTCACTTCTTCCTACAAAAATTATACTTTGACATTTTCCTCTGTTTTTAATTATTTTATTCAAATTAAAATTTTTTTGAAATTTGTATATTAAATTTAAAGAATATATAAAATTGTCGAAATTTTACAAGTTTTTGAGAATTTTAAAATCTTTGTTATACATTGCTAATTCGAAATTGTCATTATTAACAAAATTGCTTTTGCTAATTTTAGTACTAAACTAATTACAATTAGAAAAAAAGATTTAATCGGGTAAAATGCCATCTTATTTGTTTAAAATATTTATAACTAATATTATTATTATTGATTTCTTTTCAAAATTTAAAAATATCATTAATCATTGATAAATTTTGATCATTTATAATTTATTTTTCTTCAAGTATAAATGCTACAAATGTTAATTTTATTGTTTCTTTCTTTCCTTTTATGCTAATAATTTTCATAAAAATTCAAAAAAATAAAATAAATAAGAAAGTAAGCGCTAATTCATATATTTCATAATTACTTTCTAAATTTTAAAGTACATTTTATTACTTTATTGATAATTTTTTATTTTTTTTGTTTATCTTTCAATTATATTATTATTATTTGTTTCATTGATATTTTTAAACTTACTTTTTTTGCCAGCTTGCAAAATATGTTTAAACTTGCAAAATGCTTACTTTATTTTTTTTTTTTTTTTTTTTTTTTTGTTACAAAATAAAAATGAAAATATTTCAAAGAAAAATGAAACTTAAAACATGAAAGAAAGTATTTTGAAGAAGGAAGAAAGCATTGACGAAAAAATTATTTGTACTTTTGCAAAATTTAAATTTTTTGAAGAATTTTTGCAATGAAAAAAAAAAAAAAATAACATTTTAATTGCTTGCAGTAAGCTAAAAAGAAAAACTTAAAAGCATATAGTGGTTGATAAATTATTGTAAATGAAGGAATGAATAATAATGAAAAAGTAAATAAATTACTAATTGTTTCTTTTCAGTAAATAAATTAATTAAGATTAAGATAGCTTTCATGTCTTATCTTTAGTTACTGATAAGTGTTAAAAAATCCTCAATTTTATCAAAAAATATAATTAGCTAATTTTTTTTTTCAGCAATTAAATTCATTTTATTAGTCAATTGTTGAGTAATTGCATAAATTTTGATTAAAATCTTTGATAATATATGCAAATTTAGTCCTTAATTGTCCAAAAAATGATAAATGTTAGTTAGAATTAGCTTTCTGTTTGAAACAATTAGCATATGATATTACTAAAAGCTGAAAGATAGCTTTTATGTCTTAACTGATAAGCGTCAAGCAGTATTGCATCTTTAGTTACTGATAAGTGTTAAGCAGTATGTGTCTTTAGTTACTGATAAGCGTCAAGCAGTATTGCATCTTTAGTTACTGATAAGTGTTAAGCAGTATGTGCTTTTAGTTACTGATAAGTGTTAAGCAGTATGTACCTTTAGTTACTGATAAGTGTTAAGCAGTATGTACCTTTAGTTACTGATAAGTGTTAAGCAGTATGTGCTTTTAGTTACTGATAAGTGTTAAGCAGTATGTGTCTTTAGTTACTGATAAGTGTTAAGCAGTATGTATCTTTAGTTGTTCAAATGATCAATCAATAACGAAGAATTATTTAATGAAATTTGCAAAAAATTTTATCATATTCTTATCAATTAACAGAATTAATCATTTCATTCTTTTTTTTTTTTTTTTTTTTTTTTGTGAAAAGACAATTAATAATTAAATTGCAAAAAAAAAAAAAAAATTTCGTATGCAGTAAATAACAAAAGTTATTATTATCTGTTTAATAAAATCAATAATTAATTAATGTTTTTTTTTTAAATTTAAATTAAAATAACATAAATAATAATTTTCATTTTCTATCTTTTTTTTTCGTCATTTATATTTTTATAAATTTTGCTTTTTTTTTTTTTTTTATTTAAAGTTCAATGCAGTTTTGCTTCAACTGTAAGCAAACAATCAATGCATTCACTAATTTTTTTTTTTTTTATTTGTTCAAATTGCATTAAATTTTAAATCGTATTTTATTAATTTAATTTCTATTAATTTCCTATTTATTTGCACAGATGCAAACTTTTCAATGATTATATATCCATTATAAAAATGAAATAAAAAAAAAAAAGGAAATGAATTGAATGTACTTAACATTTGATAATATTTTATTTTGATCATTATTTTGCCATCATCAATCAATTTATGAATTTTTTTCTGATTATTTCATTTTATATATTTTTTTTTTTTTTTGGAAAATTTATGCTTTTTTTATGGGTAATTATTTAATTTAAATAAATAGTTAAATAGCAAAATTAATAAATAATAAATGTTGGAAATGAATGATACAATTTTATTTTGTTTTATGGTTTAAAAATTTGATTTTACATTTTATTGTATTAAATAAACATCGCTTAT